AGCATGATTACTAGCGTCAGGTTCAAATGGTACAGATCAATTCAGTCAACCTCTTTCGATATCAAGGGATGAGATGCTTGAAGACATAAGGGTAATAACAGAGTTGAAACCCGTTGGGATTGTTTCCACATAGCTGTTTTTCATTATTTTTCTTTGTACTTTCTTTATTTTTACGATTATTTCCTCTTATTAGGATCTTTGTCTTCTTCTACAAAACTGCTTGTTTATTGACAAACTCTCAATACGAATATATTTCAAAATTCAAATTTGTTTCATTTTCTTTGTTTTGTTTGCAAAGACGTCCAACGATTATATTAAATGAACATGTGCATTTGAATATGATTACTGTTTACAAATATTTGCATGAAAACAGGTTTAACATTTAGTAAAGGCTCTAGGAGTCGGGATAACGTTCAAGTCATCTAAAATCTCCACAGAGAAATCTCTGTAGAGCTACCTTTACAAACTCATCCTCGACAGAGATATATTCCCCAGCGAGTCTAATATACCTTTAGACAAAAATTTAGGCATCTTCCACAGTTCACATGATCATCTCCCCTAGTAGGTCCCCTAGCAGATAAGGAAGTTTGATCATTTCCCCAGCATGAGATGGAAACTTTCTCCGTACAACTTATGAAATTCGAGTTCCCATCAGAAATAATTCCCTCAGAATAGTTTACAGGAATTCAATTCTCCAACGGAGTTTATTTCTCCAACACTGTAAAATCCTCGGCAGAATCCTCTTGTCCAACAGATCGTTGAGTTTTCTCTTCGCTAAATTCACCGAGATGCCAGTGAGTCCCCCGCCAGATATGACCATGGCGGAGGGGAACTTCTCCCATATGTTGTAGGTGAACAAAGGCTCATCATCTTCGAGACTATCAAGGATGTGAAAGTCATCGGGCCTTGAGACACAAAAGGCTACCTGGAGGGGACAAGATTCTTCCGATGGTCAGGTATCCTCCTCAATTTCTTTAAACTCGCAGGTATGCAGTAAGGGCGTTGTTCCGCTTGTACTTCCTGAATCTCCCTGCCTTAATGAAAGTCTCAATGGCATCCTTCTGGTGGACGAAGTCTTCGGTCAGGTGACTGTGGCTCCGGAGGTATTGACAATATTTTATCCTGTTGGCCCCGAGCTTTGTAGGGGCAGGTCGAGGACGCTTGACCCCGCCGTCCTTGAACTCATAATTAGAGAACTCTGCAAGGATACACTCACGGGAAGCGGTCAACATGGTGTACTCGATGAACCGACCGAGTGGTCCTTTGTGCTCGCGGGGGTCGTGAGGTTTCTCCTCCCTTCTCTTTTCCCCTGTTCGTCGAGAAGGGCTCGTGTCACTTTGTCGTTGGACGTTAGTTGGTCCGTGGTTCCTCGAATCATGGGCGTTGTTGGCGGCTTCTTTTTCCCCGTAGTCCATATATGTCCGAGCTTTTTCGAGGAGTGCATCAAAATAACTTGGGGGCCCAATGCCAACTGCCTTTCTAAAATCAATTTCCGGGAGGAGACCCCTCTCAAGCAAGTATCTCTTCATGTGATCGATGCAGGGGACCTGGATGGCCTCGCGGTTGAACCGATCAATGTATTCTCTAAGGGTCTCATTGCTCCTCTGGACGATTACCTCGAGGGCGGCCTCAGTCTTCGGGTGCCAACGAGATGAAATGAAGCTTCTAATTAATTGGTTCTTCAAATTCCTCCATGAGATGATCGACTCAGGGGGTAAGTTCTTATACCAGTCCATAGATGTTTTCCTCAGCGTCGTGGGGAACAACGTGCACTTAATGGGCCCCCGACGTTGTTATAGTAAAGCATGGCTTCAAAGTCGTCGATGTGGTCGACGGGGTCAGCAATGTCGTCGTATCTTTTTAGAAGGGGAGGCTTCTCCATCCCTTTAGGAGCAGGGGCCTCCATGATGGCCTGGGACAGTGGACCGTGGGGGTCGTCTTCGTCGCTTCTTTCCAGGGAGCGAGATGAGGAATGATAGTAGCAGCGGTCTATGTGTCGATTTTAGTCCCGGGCAGGGTTCCTTGGTCTAGACTTATTCTCTTCCTCGCCTTTTTTTCTTTTACATTCAGGGGATCGTCGCTCTTTGCGCAGGGGGTGTGACCATGTTTCTTGATAGCTTCGGACTGGGTCCTCTCCAAAGCGGGACCTCTCCTAGTGCGACGGGGAGAAGGGCTTCGAGAATCGTCTCGTCTGTGTCTCCGCAGGGGAGATCGGGAGAGGTCCTCGTTCTGTTGGGGAGGAGGATTTTGAGAGTCAGGTCTTCCGTGCTTTCTGGGGGCCCGACGTGTCTACTCTAGCATCATCAGTCGCTCACCCTGTGAGAAGATCATGTAGTTAGTCTGGTAGATTGTCTTGAACAAGGCTCTAGTCGCAACGTCAGCACCTAGGAACGGGGATCTCCTTATACACATTGGGGTCATAATTCTGTGGAGAATGGTAGTCGTCGCATGGTTGCGAACGGGTGGGTGAAGAGGCGTTTTGTCCGTCCCTGTGGATTTTATTTGGGGTGGCCGAATTGTTATTGTTGCCCGCGTTATTGTCCCCAATTTTATTGTTATTGGCGTCGACGAAATGGACGTTTTGGTTATCGTTGACAGCTTGGTCGACCATGACAATCAGAATGTTGATAAAGATTTGCTTTGGTTTTGAGTGAAAGACGAGGAAGCTAGTTCCCATAGACGGTGCTACTGATTGTACCTGATCAGAAGGGGTTGTCAAGGTCCACGAGCTTCAAGTCGAGCAGTGGTTGAATGTGAAGTGGGGGTACCTGCAAGACACTCTGATGTCAAAGTAAGGTTCAGAGTACGTGCAAGTAAGTGTGAGAGTATGAGTGAATGAATGAATACTTGACCCTCTCAAGTGAGAGGGTATTTATATCCCTCAGTGCTGGGCCAAGGTCCCCATTGTTGGGCTGATCAAGCATGCCCAAAATGGAGACTGTCAGGTCCTATGTGTGTAGTGGAGGCCAACACGTGGTCCTCAACCTGAATGGACTCCTCTGAAGTATCAAAAGGACGTGGATGCAGTCTTTTCGGGGTCAAGAGAACTCCGTGACATTAAGTGGCGTTTGGTACCTTTCTTACGAGGAGGGTGCTCGCGAGGACCTCCTGAGTGTCGTTGGTCCTCCTCGTCAGTCATGAGGTTTTCCTCGAAGGACATATTATGATCGACGAAAGGAGTGAAAGCACTTTCTTACATTGTCAAGGGAAGACTCTTTCCTGCTGATTTTCTCCTGCAACATAGTTGAATTGAGCCTTATATAATATTTGGGCCAAATATAGACCCAATCCAAAACAGATATTAATTTGTAAAAGTTAACCAATACAATACCTCTTAGGTATTCTCCAAAATAACGTGAAGCATAATAAAGATATATCCACTCTTAAAAGAATTCTACAAAAAAAATCATAGATATACGTTTACAAATAAAATGAAATTAAAGTAACAAATTAGTTTACAGAAATGCCATAGAATAATGAAAACATAAATGAAAATCACTTTTTAGAGGGAAACAAAAATAAAATACATAAAAAGATAAACAAATGAGATAAGAAAAAAAAATATTTATCAATATGATAATAAATAAATAAATAAAATATAGATCCATCCATTTTATTCATAATTTGCAAATAAAAATTATTTCTTATTTATTGATTGACTAAATTTCATTTTAAAAAGTGAAAAATTTAATACAAATAAACAATTACTGACACACTATATATAATTAAAAAATTATTTAATTGAAGAAAATAAAGAGATTGTCTTAAAGTATTTGAATAAATGATATATTTAAATCTGATTTAAACTAGATATATCATTTATTTGATATTAAAAATTATCTTATTTACTTATAATAAAGAATATATAGACTATTTATGCAAGGATATCTGAATCCAAATGCACATGCAAAAGTTTGAACTTGCGACATAAAAAATGGATAGATTAGGTGACAATAACAATATGTCATATCTAAAAATTAAAATTTTAGATGTATAAATAATTTCGTCTATATATTAACATTTTATTCATATATTCATAGTCTGTGTAAGACTAAGAAATCGTGTATCCTCTGTATGCAATTGCAGTGCAGTTACAAAGATTAATCTATCGAGTCGGATAGAATTATAATGGATAGCAACGCTCTCCCTTAATAAGAAATTATATGTCACATCTAAAATTAAAATTTTAGATGCATAAATAATTTATTTTATATATTAACATTTTATTAATATATTCAGAGTCTATGTAAGACTAAGAAAACGGGTATCATCTGCAAGCAATTGTAGAACAGTTGCAGAGCTTATTCCCTTAAGTCAGATAGAATCATAATGGCTGGCAAAATTCTCCCTCAAAAAAATATAATACTACTGTGTGTCTAGAACTCAGTTCAAATCTAGGACTTTTGGTAAAATTGAAATAGATCACTTAGCATCTCATCCAAGTACTCTTGACTATTAAGTACTCATATTTGTTAATTATAAGCCTCACATATACTTTAATAAATTAAATAATCCAGGCTTATTTTCCTACTAAGTCAAACCAAATTTTAATACTTATAATTGACAAGTTTGGATGAGTGCCTGAAGCAACAATAAACTAACACTCCAAAATGAGAAAAATGTCATATTTTCTCACAAAATTTAAATCATGTTCCTTATACAATCACATTTTAATTATTCACAATCAACAATCAAGGAAAAAACAATCAATCATTCAAAGCAAAACATCAATTGCTAATATCTTATATAAGTAACTTTGTAAAAACACATCAAATCCAAGCAATATTAAATATTAAACAGACAAAATGCATAGTTTCAAGCCAAATACAACTTGCCTGTAAAATAAATATTGTTCTTTTGATCCAAATAAACTAACATAACAATATCATAATGATACCAAATAATTTTAAACTAGGATATCAATATTCCTGCCGGTGAAAGAATCGCGGATGGGGGCTTTCTTGGGCCTTCTGTAGGAGGCTCATTTGAGTCAGACAATACTACTTCTTGACCCTCAGAAAAAAGCTCCCTAGTATTATCTACAAAATCAACATCATCATTTTGTAACATTATCTTAAAAGTGTAGTATAGGAAAAGTATTCAAAATTCAGATGGTATATACAAATTGTATAAATTCAAATAGTGTGTACCTGAACTGGAGAGGCAGCAATCAGAACACCGTCAATTTTACCACCAAATGAACGACCATTTGATAATGAAGCAAATGACCCCTTTACTCCATCATATCTTTTTTGTTCACTTTTATTTATGCTAACAGACACAAAACCTTTCAGTGATAGGGTCTCAAATAGTCCCTAACAAAATAAAAAATCAGCCACACACAAACATGTTAGTATTATTAAGTCATGTTATATAGATACCTAAAATCGACACAATGTATGTAACACCATATCAATATATGACATAGGTGTGTGTTTTGATGTTCAAATAACTTTTCTAAATATCTTTTCTAGAGTAAACATAAAAAGCTTCATAAACAACATAACAATACATACAACATATTTACAGTAAGTGTAAATTATTAAATTATATTTTAGAGATCCATGTAATTTATAATTGTAGAACTAACCTCATAGGTCACAGTTTCATTAGATGATGGAGATTGAGAAAACCTTATCTTAGAAACGGTCCCATTTGATGATATAATGGTTACATTTTTTGAGAGACTATGAGAAAAGGCTATAATCTTCTCTAAAACATTCTGAATATCAAAATATATACATTTACAAGAAAAATTAATAGCTGGAAAACAATAATAAATATATTCCTAGAAAACTAATATTAATATAAAATATTATTTTCAATATAAATGTTTTGGTTAAGCCTGAATCTTAAACAAATTAGTATGATGTTGCTATGAAGCGTGACATGAAAAGTATTAATGGGACTCCAGTGTAAATCATGAGATGTTGTACTTATGATTTTTAAATTGTGTTTACAATTGTATGTTTTGCGGTTAAGGTAAATGTGATTGTTGTAATATTTATTGTGGTTGTTGCGACATAAACTTTTATTGTGAGGTATTTGAAATACATTCTTTAAAAATTATTATTGTAATAATTTTTTCATTACATCATAAATAAATTGAAATTTAAGGATTCTGAAATGTTGAGGTTTAATGAAAATATATGAAGAAAATTTAGTAAAATTGTTTGATGTTGTTTCTAATGAGGCTGGATGATGATTTAAAATTATTGTACAATTGCGGTTTGATACAATTGTAAATAATATAAGATCAAAACAGATCAGATTGAAAAATCACATATCCTTTCATAGATAAATATCTCTAATCTTTAGCAAATATGGTCTAACTAATAAAGACAAACTCTTGAAACTAAAACTAAAGTTTTTTTTTTTTGTTATAAGTCATGATATGGAAAATAGAGGTACATATAAAAATATAAACAAAAAATTAAAGATTGAAAAACACGTAGTTATTTATAAGCTAATCACTATATATTATGCAAATCACTATATATTACTGATGAATTTTAAATAATACTGAAAAAATTAACCAATACAGTACCTCTTTGATATTCACGATGATCATGTGAGACTTAAGTGAAGATATATCCATTCCTTAAAATAATTAACACGAAAATATTATACATATATATTTGAAAATAAGATAAAATTGACATTAAGAAAATATCTATACTTCAGAGAAATGCAAGAGAATGATAAAAAAAAATAAAAAAATAATTACATTTTAGAGGAAAACAAAATAAAATACATAAAATAATGAAACAAATGAGATAGGAAAAGAATTATTTATAAATAAGATAATCAATAAAAAAAAAATAAAAAAAAACGTAGATTCATCCATTTAGTCATATTTTTCAAAGAGTTTATTTTTAAATTTTTTTTTATTGAATTCAATTTTTAAAGTAAAAACTTAATATAAATCAAATATTCCTTTTAAACTATATATAATTTTTAAAAAATCATCAAATGAGAGAAGAAAAGAATTACCATAAACGATATTCATACATGACTTTTTGTTGCGAGATCCGTAAGGTCGACCTCTACGCTTCTTAGAGGTGTTGGTTGAGGTGGAAGGCAAAGTAGCCGTTGAAAAAAATGGCACATCAGAATAGCTAATAATTCCAGGTAGATAATTTAAATGTCCAAAAGAAAGAGAAGAATGATTAAGAGGAAAGTTACTTTGTGAACCCAATAGGTGTGGTTGTGGTGGTGATTCATAAAGTTTGTCAAATCTGGGAGGGAACTCGTACTCATTCCCCAATCCAGATCTCGACATGATTTTAGTGGTTTTCATGTTACACTTTGGATACAAGTATGGTAGCAACAATTGATATTATCTTTTAGATTGCAGTTTTTTTTATTTTTTATGTAATAGGTACACTTTAGTATAAATATTAAAAGATATACCCTAACTTTTTAGCTATTGTAACCGTTACAATGAATAATACCCAAATTTATGAGTGTATTCTTGTTTAGGAGAAATTTAGTGTTATCTTATATTTTTTTATGAACCTTATTTGTTTTAATGGGCCTTCTAGAAAAAAATATGGATCGTGTTTTTTTATCCGATTTTTATTTTCTCATTTTTTTAACTCTTGTTTGTTTATTTATTGTATAAAAAAATTTAGATTACTCCTATTATATTTTTAATATTGTGTACTTCTCTTATATATATATATATATATATATATATATATATATATATATATATATATATATATATATATATATATATATATATATATATATATATATATATATATATATATATATTTTGCCAGGTCAATGATCCAAAAAGTCAAGACCTAATACATTCATCTTTATGATACTCATGATTCACTTTATAATCTCCATATTTTATTACATTCATCTTAAATTATGAATTAATTTGGACATTAGTACTAATCTTAAATGTCCATGTCGCTCTTTTAGAGATTAGTACCACCAATTTAGAATTTATCATTATAAATTTACACCTAATTCTGGCAATAGAATAGAGTATTAATACAGTTCTGTAAGAATAAATAAATAAAATAAAATGTAAATCCATCCAATTTAATCATATTTTATAAAAAGTAGTTTTAATTTTTTTTGTTTGACTAAATTTCATTTTTAAAGTTAAAAAATTAATACAAATAAAAAAATTACTTAGAAAATGTATATAATTTTAAAATTTATTTAATGAGAGAAAAACAAAAGATTATCATTAAATATATTAAATAAATAATGTATTCGAATAAAATATAGACTAGATACATTAATTATTCAATCAACTTAAAATTATTTTATTTGTTTACAATATAGAATATAGAGACTAATTATGCAGGGACACCCTATTGACCAGCCAAAATTTGAATTGGAGACATAAAAAAAGAAGGAGAAATTAGGTGACAATAACAATTGGCTCAATGGTATTACACTATTAGAAAAGATATGTCACAGACTAAGCATTTATATTCGAACTCAAGAATCATCAAGTGAATTATGAGCCTCACACATAATTTAATTAATCCATGTTTTTACCTATAAAATCAAACCAAACTTCAATATTTATAATTGATATGTTTAAATGAATGTATGGAGAAACAATAAAGTAACATTCTAAAACAGGGAAATGACATATTTTCTCAAAAAATATGAATCAGGTTTCTTATACATTCAAAGTTTACTCTTTCAGAATCAATAGTCAATGTGACAATAAACAATCATTCTACTACGCTAACAATAAGTTTTAGCAGCACATAAAAGAAAGCGCTTTTGGAAAAAAGCGCTGCTATAGGTTTTTTTAAAAAATCGCTTAAAAAAACGCTTTCAAAGGGTGCCTTAAGAAAGTGCTTTTCAAAAGCGCTTCTAAAGGTCACCCTTAGAAAGCGCTTTTTGGAAAGCGCTGCTAAAGCTGACCTTTCAGAGGGTACCTTAAGAAAGCGCTTTTCAAAAGCGTTGCTAAAGGTCAGCCTTAGAAAGCGCTTTTCTAAAGCGCTGCTAAAGCTGACCTTTAGAAAGCACTTTTAAAAGCGCTGCTATAGGATATGCTACGAAAGCGCTTTTTGATGTAAAATAGATGACCTTTAGAAAGCGCTTTTAAAAGCGCTTTCGTAGGTAGTTTTATAATAAATATCAAAACACAATTCGTATCACTTTTCTATTCTCAGTCAGATTTTCTTCACGAAAAAACCCTAAACCAGAGCCTTTACGGCGGTCAACGGCGCTCCACTTCTCTGGCCAACTGCAATTCTTATCAGGTTTCATTTTTTTCCTCATCTCGTATGTGTTTGTCTGGTTTTCGTGTGCTTTTGTTTGCTCCTTCGTAATTCAGGTATTTTTTGCATGTGTCGTGGTTGATTGATGTACATGTAGCTGGTCCTTTGATGAATTATATCGCCTCCATCTAATAAGTGCTTTCATGATTTCTACCTCAAGATCAACGGCTTCTAGATTCATTCATGTTGCAGATCTCAATTTTGTGTGTGTATATATATGTATATGTGTGTACTTATGGCCGTGAGGGGTGGGGAGTTTAATGGATATAGGTTGTTTCAGGATTACATATCTCGAATCTATGAGTATTTATGGCATTATATTTTCAAAAATCAAGTCATGGAACCTGGAAAATCATCTACAACAACAAACACGTTGAAACCGAAACATACAATCTTGAAAAACAAAGAAACAAACCAATGTTTCTCCCGGCAGCAGAAGGCCACTCACTTGCCATTTTGTCTACTTATCTATTGAACTGGTTGAGATCAGGCACAGTAAACAAATACATTAGCAACACCAATGTGTTTGAGCATTCAGGGAAGTTTTACTCAATTGCTGAAAGTCACATGCCACAAGAGATTGATATATTTTCCTTGAAAACTTTGAACAATTAGGAACTCAGTGAAGCTTGGAATCGACCTTTTACAAGTCATCCAAAGGTTTTTGTTTAACTTTTACTATATTTGTAAATCAACACTTTTAACACTCTTTCATTGTTTGTTCAGTCACAAATTCTTTTTCATGTATCATCACAGAAAGCTCCAACTACATAAGAGCTAGTTATATTTGGTTTTGCGCCAACTAAACCTTATGTTGTGGTTGGAATTATTTCTGGTATGCTCTTGTTCTTTGTAAATGAAAAAAGTTAAAAAAATAAGTTTATTTAATGCTAATTATTTACTTTCAGCATTGAACAATAACTATGACTACGAGAGTTTGACATATTTCTTTTTCTCTCTTATTTTTCAGCTGATGGAAAGAAGTTGGTTCATAAAGTTGATATCAAACTAAACAGGTGTAGTCTTTGCCATGACATAGGTGTTACGCAAAGGTAGCAAGCATTATAGACTATTAAGCTTTCTTGAAAAACAAGAAATCAAAATTGCATTGTAGAATATGTTTTCATGTGATTTTGTTTTTGCAGGTACAATGTGATCATGGATTTTCCACTAACCATTGATCTTATCAAACTTCTAAGAGGAGGACCGTGAGTACATATGAATTGAATGGATTCAATTTAAGATATTGAAAAGTGAAGCTACTAAGATTCACTTGTTTCAATGTAGATTGATGAAGTATGATAAGAATGAATACGCAAGGATTGGTGTAATGCCTCGCTATGGTAATGCCGAGTCTATCAAATGGTTTGAAGCGGAACCTAATTGCACCTTTCATATTATCAATTCTTTTGAGGATGGAGATGAGGCAAGTTGTTATCATATAAGTGCTTATGTATAAGTTGTTTTTATAATAAAAGATAAAATAAAGTTAAGTTGATTGCAAAGTGATAGAGCTTATAGAAATAAGCTGAAAATTGAAGGAATGTCTAATTTTATGGATCAACAGGTTGTAGTGAGGGGATGCAGATCGCTTGACTCTTTAGTTCCTAAGCCTGACCCGTGTTCGAAAGAATTTGACTGTTTATCTCGTTCTTATGAATGGAGGTTGAACATGCGAACCAGAGAGGTCAAGGAGAAAGATCTTTGTGGTAACCAAGTTGTTTATATGGATTTTCCAATGATCAATGAAAACTTTGTAGGTATTAAGCATAAATATGCTTACACACAAATAGTTGATCACATTGCAAGCTCTACCACTCAAGGTAACAATATAACTTATAAGATCATGTTTGGTTATGCTATTTCTTAACATGATTATGCTTTTGTGTTATTTAGACGTGCAAAAGTATAGAGGTTTCACAAAGCTATATTTTGAAGAAGCAAAGGTAATTTTTTTTTGATATAACAAACTCTTTAGTAACATTAATTATGAATGTGATAACTTAGATTATTTTGTGAAGCAGATAGAAAAAGATGAAGGTATAAAGATGGAATATCATATGTTTGAGAAGAATACATATTGCAATGGAGCAGCCTTTGTGGCTAGAGATGGAGGTGTTGAAGAAGATGATGGTTGGATCATTGCTTTTGTTCACAATGAAGATACTAACAAATCTCAAGTAGGTTTAGTAGTTTGTAATCTTGCAAATTGCAATTATTACTAATTAAAACATTTATCAACACATTTACTAATTTTCTTCTATTCAATTTTTTTAGGTTCATATAATTGATACAAAGAATTTCTGTGGTCAGACAGTTGCCAAAATTGAATTGCCTTGTAGAATCTTAGGTAACCTATGAAAGCGCTTTTTCACAAAAAGCGCTGTCTAAGGTAAACATATGACAACGCTTTTCCAGGCAAAAGCGCTGCTAAAAGACCACCTATGAAAGCGCTTTTCCAGAAAAAAGCGTTGCTAAAAGCCTACCTAAGACAACGCTTTTCCAGAAAAAAGCGCTGCTAAAAGAAAACTTATGAGAGCGCTTTTCTAGAAAAAAGCGTTGCCTTAGGTAGACCTATGAAAGCGCTTCTTCATAAAAAAGTGCTGCCAAAAGCCTACTTAAGAGAGCGCTTTTTAGAAAAAGTGTTGTATTAGGTAGACTTACGAAAGCGCTTTTCATTAAACAAAAAGCGCTGCTAAAACCTATAGCAGTGCCACCTTAGAAAGCGCTTTTAAGCGCTTTTAAAGGTAAAAAAAAGCGCTTTCGTAAGTCTTTTTTAGCGTAGTGTTCAATGTAAAATATCAATTTCTATAGTAGCCTAGATAAGTAACTTCATAAAACACATTAAATTCAAAAAATATTAAATATTAAGCAGACCAAATGCACATTTTCAAGCCAAATACAACAACTATGTAAAAAAATAATGCACTTTTGATAAAAAATGATTAACATAACAACAAGAGAATGATACGAGATAGATTTTAACTAAGACAATATTACGTCGATGACGGGACTGAACCACTGATAAAGGGTT